TGTAACATTGCCTTCCCTTTGGCTTGAAGTCAAACTGAGAATGCGACGGAGGTGGTAACATCGAGCACGACATCACAAACTTTTCAAAGTGACTTTCTACAGCAAAGACACTTTTTTTACTGTGAATTCGCTAGCTTAAGAAAACACATGCAAATAGGCAAAACAGAAGCATCTTCACCAGGCAGACAACAGAATGTGAGAAAAGAGAGAGAACACCAAATACACAAACGTTGCAAATTGCGCAGACGACAATAGAAACTGTTTTCAGGGGACACACAAAAGTGATGAGGACGCCGGGACTGCAGCTGGAGCAAAACCTCAATAACTTCATGGCCGTATTTGAAACCATCTACTAGTACATACTGATTCTGCCAAAATGTATTGTGTATGTATTATTCTGTTGTTATCTGTTCAATCTGTAGCATTTATGTTTACTCACTATTTTTTCTAAATGCATGTGTTGTCAATTTGGTGAAGATATTTTGAACTGTCACTTTCTATGCTTTTGTTTAATCGAGTGGTGACTGAATCTCCTGACCCTGTACGCAGCTCAGTATATAGTATACGAACAGCAGCTCCACATCATTCACTGTGTGGAAGAGCAGACTGTTTACTGGCAGGTGAACCTAATATAGCGGCTACTAAGTGCAATACTGTTTACTATTTACTGAGCAAACCAGAGAGTGGCTCTATTCCTTTCTACCTAAGTGGTGCTTGACTATAAGCCAAACATTGACTCTCCAAGTCAATGGACCATATACAGTAATACCCGAAAAAAAGATTTTCAGACGTATTTAATTTCAAATTTCGCACAGAGAGACAATTTCAGGCGGGCGTCATGGGAAAATGTGACAAGTTGCCCTGTCACATCTCATCTTGTACCTCTCACGCAAACACCGGGTTCACATGCAACAATGTCATTTGGAAGGGGGCTTCAACAGAGCATGTCATGTATCAGCCTAATAGAGCACAGATAACAAGCGCTCCGCCTGCCTGTCCCTTTGACTGACTGGTGCAGTGGGACACCTGACAGAGGAAGAGAAACAGGATCTCAGCAGCTGGCTGTTTGCCTCTTAGTCTGTTTTCTGGGCCACATTCCTGTTACCCGACTTCAAGTTAGACCCTGAACGTGTCTGCTTACCCCTAAACCCTAACCCTGTTTGGGTCAGTCCCTACCTTTTGCTCTTTGTTAGTTGAACTTGAAGAGTTAAAAACCTGAGTAAGGGACTGTATAGAGTGGTAATCCATGGGACAAATTGGTGTGTGACAACCAGTCTGGATGGTAGAAATTCTCAGTGGCACTTTTGAAAGTGAATTAACATTCCAGTGAAAATCCAAGATGGAAATGAAGGGGAATCAAATGCTACATGAACACAAAAGTAGTATCTATCCTGTCTGCATTCATTTCATCGATTCACTATGATCTGTCATGCTCTTGCATCATGCCAGGAAAGCAGGAGAAAGGCAACAACAGCAAAGCCAAATGTAATAAAATTTAAAATAGGGATTTCTGCCACATCCCAATCAGGGTCCTTTAAAAGTCCAATCCACTATTTATTTTCCATCCATGCATTATCTATACCTGCTCAACCTTTGGTGGGTCACTGGAGCTGATCCAAGCTGACATTGGGTTGAGAATATTTATTTTTATTATGTTTTTTGTAATTGTTTCCTTACATAATAGAGTTTCACAGTGCACAGTTGCTTTCTATCATTCAATGTCCCGACTAGCTCTGCAGTGTGATTTCTGATAACAGCTGAAAATATCCCGCAGCTCCATATCTTGAAATTTTTACCTAATCATGTTTTTGATGATATTTTGGTCTTTGTGTGAGTGTGGGTGCACGCCTGTGTGTGTGTGTGAGAGTGAAATGGAGACAGCAACTGAGAGAGACTGTACACACCCCGATAACGTGATGCCAATACAAAGCAGCTTAACCAAATTCTAAGAACTGTTTGACTCTTTTGAATTGCTGATCTTATATTAATGAATACTTTGATATTAATAAATACTCAGAACATCCTTAATACACAACTTAATCCTCTACAGATTCTGAATCCTGTCAAATCCTGTGGAGACATTCAGCAGTGCGAACTCCGCCTTTACACACAAACGTACACTTCATTAAACACAATCCTTAATACAAATTAAACATTTTTAGCACTAAAATCAAATACAGCATTGGACACATTTTAAAGATCATATTGAGGGCATTTTATTTTATTAAACAACCCTGACAGAGACAAGAGGGAGTGTGGAAGGCCAACAATGGGCATTCAGTCGACATTAGAGCCAGTAACTCCACAAACAACATCTTCAAGACTTGTTGGAAGAATTATTATTCAAAGTGTGTAAAAGACGAGTTACAGACGGGAACAGAATTGATGATGGCAATTAACTGAATGCAGAAAACCATTTTTATTTTCATTCCTCCAGAAATGAAAGAAAAACAATTAAACAGTTTTATGATTTTATCCACTACTGGTTCCAATGCGCTTCTGCAGTTTAAAACACACATAATGTCCAAGCAAAGGTTTTCTGTAACATACATAGATGTTTGGCAGGTCTCTTCTGTGGTGGAGGAGATAAATGTAACATATGTTATATCTTTTGTACTTTCTTTCTGATGTATAGTTTGAAGAGAGAATCGAGGCAGGTAGTCTGCTTTTTAACACTGCTAAAATGGTCATAAGGATAGCAGTGCCTGAGGGGAGCCTTTAAGGGCTTTTCAAAAATGACAAATGATGTGCTGACTAACTTTGATGCATACAGATGGAAAGACGAGAATCATCTTAGGTGATTCAAAATGAGACAGAAACATCTTTTCAAGTTAAAAATTCTTCAACTTAAGCAAAACAGTTGTTACATGACTCTTTTTCATGAGCGTGCAGAGACAGGAGCAAAGGAGTCTGCAGTATGCAGTTTTATGTGTAATAGTCTCAGACATCACCATTTCAGAACGATCACTTCATCATTTATCTACATCCATATTAGGACCCTCACACCTACTGCAACAGTACAGTACTTGGGGGTCCCTAACACCATATTTTGGTTAGCGCCTAAGTGGAAATCACCACACTGGGTAATTACGGGCCAACTGTGTTAATTTTCTGCCCTCACATAGACTTGTTTTCCTCAAACAACACCAAATTGGCTGCAATCATTGGCATTAAATTGGCACAAAATCTACTGTTAAAAATAATCCCAAACTTGCCCACATAGTGTAGCAATACAAGTAAATGAGTACTATTAAAAAATATTTTTGAATATTAATTTGTTTCTGTCGTACAGGCACATCTTGGCATATCTGCAAATTGGTTAATTAGTGACCTTAAGCTGCTGCTGCTGCTGCTGCTGCTGTAGTGCCACTGCTGAGTTAACAGTGGCCGCTTCTACATGAGACCTTGTGTTAATTTGGATTCATTCATAAAAAATTTAAAATTCCACTGATCAATCTTCTGAATCGTCCTATGAATGCTGTCCTCCCAAGGACGATAGATACATTGATTTCATAGTACCCCAATGTTTACGTTCAGGTGTGGAAGCCCTCTAGTGGCTGTAATAGTTATGACCAAAGGAGAAAATCAGTTGAAGTTATTGTAAAGTAACAAAGTTTGCGTAGGGATGTGGTCAGGGTGGATGGATGGATCAACAAAGAACTGGAATTGAAAGACAAATTTGTAGAAAAACTAGCACAGCCAGTCAAAAAATGTTTCTGAATTTCCAATAACAAATTGGCCTCATACCAAGAACAGACAAACAAGATACTTGCCTGGTGAAAGGTCAGCATGCTTTTTTTGTTTGTTACAAAAGCAAGTTTGAGTCACTGAAACGTAACGTGTACTACTAGCAACATGAGCATTTCAATGAACGTTGTTTAGTGCTTCAACCACGGTTTGGTTGTTATTGTGCCTAAACCTAACCAAGCCATAGCATTGTCACATCATAAAACTGGTTTATTTTTCAACAGGGATTTTGGAAAACACAGACAAACAAGATTTCTACTGTAAGTGCTGTTCTAGAGGACATGGACAAACAATGTGTTTGCCGTTTAATTTGGAGGACTTATGGCAGCTTTGGTGTTCTTCTCAGTCAAAAACACGTGGCTCAGGTGAAATGGACACACTTGAACTTGCAGTGTGTTTTACCTTACCAGTAAGATAATGAAATATAATCCATTATGTCCAGTTTGAGTAATACATCCATTAGTTTGAAGGCTTACCCGATGGCAACACACTGCACTGTGGTTTATAATATTAAAAGGAAGAACTGTAAAATGGTTACACTGGCATTTAATCCTTAAATGCAACAAACACTAAGTAAAGAATACAACTAGGCCATTCATTGTTTTCAGTTCAGAAGGCCAAAATAAATACAGCACCATTTGCATCTTGTTGAATCAAACAAAGGAGAGTATTAAACAGGTCCCCCAAACTTTTTATAGCAAATTCATTCCACCTACAAATACAAAGCTTTTTTTTCTCTTGCAAGAATTCATGACACACTGGAGATGGTTTACAATTGAGAGATATTAGTGAAACTATGTTAGCATATCATTCTGTAGCCTACATCCCTTGAAAGCCTCCCACATGAGAATAGTGTAGAGCAGAAAAAAAATCACAGAACAAGAGGTCAGAGCAGTGGAAATAGATTCATTGCTTCCACATTTTCTACTAAGCCAATGTAGGATTAATATTTAGAAAACAGACTAGTGATCTTAAGTGCACATTATTTATTTCAGACTCTTCTGCAATGCTTAAATAAATGTGACATAACACAACAGGTGACTCTAAAATCACCCATTTTCAAACTCCCCTCATGCAAATACAAGAAACTTCACATCTAGACCAGTGATCGCCAGTTTATCTGTCGGCTCCAATCCACACTGTCTAGGGATTTTCCTCCTCACAGAGATCATCAATGTGAGACAGAAACTGGTGCTCAGGGAGCTGCTAATGAGCAAAGTCTCGTTTTTTTTCCCTCTGTCTCTCTCTTTCAGCCGCTCTTATCTCACACCCTGACATGAATGTTGTCATTTCATGCACACACACGCAGCCTTGGTTCACCCCTCTTCCTAGCAACCCCTACTTTAAGAAGTCTTGGGGAAATCAGCTTATGAAAAAGTAAGTGCTTTCTCATAACTCCTCATTGAGACAATAAAAAAAACTTGATTCACTCCCTCAACAGCGTCACACTAATGCAGGGGGAGCAATCAGAGTGAGGGCTGCACTCCTGTTGAGTGTGCACTGGAGAGCATAAACACTCTGAGTAGGGACACCAACTGTGTTCATTATTAAAGAAACAAGGAACAAAGGAGGCAGAGGGAGAGAGAGGGTTTATTTTCTCACAAACAAACAGATAGTAATGTGTGTGTGTGTATTGGGAGAAGGTACACAAATGCCTCACCTAGGTGGAGTAGTTAACTACACCAACAAAATCCTAAAAGTATCATTTCAAGATTAATTTTTTTCAGACTTGTGATTATGGATTTTAATTTGGCATTAAGGAAATAATAGAATCGGCCAGTGGCCATCAGCCTCAATGACCAATCTAATTGGTGGAGTGCTAGCCCTTGACTAGCGAATCAGTGAGTGCACGAGAAAACCGGAAGTGACGATGGTAAACACCAGTATCTTGTTATTATTAGCCATCGTATTTTCCGTTCAGCGAGTGATGACAATAACGATCCTTCTTGAGTACTATCAACACTCTCTGATGAAAACAATGACTGACGACAGCGTGCTCTGTGTTTACTAGGTCTAGAGTGATCCATCATTTCCGCCCGCTGTTATGGGGATGTATAACGCCTCGCGCACGCGCAGAATGTACACTCCATCCGGCATCGGTTTGGTGTGTTCGGAGGCACTTTTTTACCGACTGGGGGAGATGGGAGCCGACTGATCGGTCCGACTGCTTTTCTGCCGACGGTCGGCCATCAGGTTGGTGTGTCCTGGCCTTAAAGCCCCTTGAACAGCACAAAAATGAATAAAAAGTGTTTTATAAATACAGTTTGATTGCTTGATTGAAATTATGTAACAGAAAACCCAATGAAATGCACACAAGTAATGACTTTTTTATACATCATCTCCACATACATCCTTTCAGCTGGTGGGTACTACTGTATAGCATTTTCACACACAATCCGTTTGACATCGGATTACGTACATGGGATCAACCAGTGTTTGACACAATCATAAGCAGACTGCTGTCATGGGTTAATCCCCTCACTTTTCCACAGTTGTAATTCTACACGTCAGTGCACACACAGAGAATTACAACAGAGCAAATATACAGACAGGATACGTTGCTGGACAGAGTTGATTTTCTGTGTTTACACTGGATATAATATGGTGCAGATTTGGACTATATTTCTTTTTTTACTTTATGAAGAACTAATCAATCAGTGTACTTGATTCCACCACAAAGGTCCATATAAAACATGCAACAACCTGCAAGATTCAATCATGTTCAAATGTAACTATGACCGAACAGATTTATGGTTTGATAGGCTTGAAGATTGAGAGGTAAATCCTACAATAATTCTATATCAACACTGTGACCCTATAGTAACCTTTTATTAATCCTATAGTGATTATAGACCTGTGTGTTCACCCTCTCATACCAAGGGTGAACAGTCTCAAGCCGGCCTTCAACATGTTGACCTATTCAATCAACGTCAAAAACGAGTTTCTTCCCAATCAGAATATTGATTACCAAGGTTTTACATCGGAGGAGAATATTGAGTGGCTGCCAGGTCAATTAGTTTCCTCATGCCTGGATGCACTGAGGACCTTCTTGACACAAACATAATACACAATTTGATGATGATTCTGTTCAATTACCGTAGTGAACCATGTCAGTGAGCCAGTAGACACAATACCAGGGGCCTTGGCAGTAACACACCTGAACGGAAGGCAGCCATTATTTATTTTCAGCAACGCAACATGGCTCTGTAAGTTTGTATATTAGTCCACACTGAAATATCTTTATAACTATTGAATATATTGCCATGAAATTTTGTACAGACATCTGTGATCCCCAAAAGAAGCCTAATAACTGTGATGGTCTTCCAACAATTTTATTCACAGATTTTGGTGAAACTGGATCATATTTTATGGAGAAACTACTTTATCTGTTTTCCCTCTGATATCCTCCAGCTACTCAACCTCAACAGTGATTTACGCTTAGGTTGCTGCTTGCCTAGCTCTGGTTCTGCTGCCCATTCTGGCGCTGCTCTCCTCCAGCTTTAGTAGTTGGCCCCATCTGTGGGCCTGACAACCTCCTCCCAGCAGTCCAAAAACTCCTGTGCTAGCAACACAAACACTCCTCTGGTGGTGTTCTGGGCTCCCAGTCTGGGCACAGAGGCCAGTATACCTGCTCTCATGACAGCTACCTGAGATAACAGATTCACTTCTTGTGCATGCTCTTACAGAGATGCCTCTTGCGTATGCCTATATCTGCATCCAGGTCCCTCTCAACTACAAGGGCACCACATCCCTCCACCAAGGTCCTCTGTCCTCCTCCCTCTGCAGCTGTTGTGATCCAATGCCTGGAGGTAGAGAGGTTGTATAGGCAGAGAGAGGAGGGGCTATCATCTCAATCAGTAGCTAAGTTTACAAGAATTTGCCATATTTTAAGATTCAAGGCAAACTGGGATAAACAGTTAGACTACATACAGACAGCTTTCATTTAAGCTTGCTTGTAACAATTTGCTATTATCTTAACAACTCTGCTTGTAACAACAACAACTGTGGACAAAGCAGGTGGAAATATTGCTTTACTTTATTTTTTTTTGTGGTGAACTCAAGGAAAACCTTCACTTCACTTGGGTCAGTGTCTGCACCACAGCCTCTCTGCTGTCTGCTGTCTGCTATGTGTGTGTGTGTGTGTGTGTGTGTGTGTGTGTGTGTGTGTGTGTGTGTGTGTGTGTGTGTGTGCACTCAGAGGAGAGGACAGAGAAAGTGACCTTGCAGACTGAATCAAAGTGAAAAATTGTTCATGTAACTGCCCCATAATTTGAATCATCTCCAAAATTGAACGGCTTTTTCCTTGGCCCTTGTTACATCCTTCCACCAAGTTACATGAAAATTGGGCCAGATGTTTTCTCCTTAATCCTGCTGACAGACAAACAATCAGACAGCACCAAAAAAAAAAGAAAGAACTTCCTTGGTGAAGGTAATAATTGATTTTGCTCCCGATATTTAAAATGTACAATTTTAAAAGTAGGCAAGCAAGTACAAGATGAACCATTAACCCCCTTTAACAGATTATATTCATCCAACCTTGGATTCTACTTTTTTTGGAAAGAGCAAGTACAGAGTGCAGGTGCACCTAGTACACATAGAAAATGTAACAACCCGAACCTCCTGCAGAGATGTTTGTGGGCAGATAAAAATAGAGGTCACACTGAAAATAAAAGTGGGAAAGGGTTTCAGAGAAGATATATTTGGGCCTTGTTTGAAAAGCAATCTATTTGTTCTGTTGTTTTTAGTCTAGATTTATGTGCATTGTTGCTGTCTACAACACTTTATAGCAAACCTACATTTTTAAATTTAAGGCAGTGCTTAATATTTGATGTGAACAATCTGTGTTCACCAAAACTGTATATGTATTAGGTCACTCACCAGCGTATCTCACACAGATAACTCAATTCTATCCCTCAATCTACTCATCAGTTTTAGCTTCTCTTGAATATAAAGACATGAGCCTACTGCTTGGCATGTTAATTACTCTCAATTATCTAGCTCATCTCTTCTTGCTATTCATCTCTGTCAGCTCAAGCTTAGTGAGGGAAATACTCTTTCAGTGAGTGAGAGGAGGAAGAGGGCGTCCTTTTGTTTAGTCACTGATTAAATTAATAACCAAGATTATTCACGTTGGTTTATGATATTCATAAGAACACTGTTAAGAGTCAGGGAGGGAGACAGATGAGCCGACAGACTGACAATGAACAAATAGAATTCAGTTAACAGATATAGGAGCCTATACTGGATTCAAAAATTGGACCACCCAAAGATTGTGACCTACAATAAAATAACATTTTATGGGCTAGTAATCAGTGGCGTGGACTTGGGGTACACAACTTGGATTCAGAGTAGATTCATAAATCAAACAAGACAAAATCTTGCAACTTGACTTGGACTTTAACACCAATAACTCATAACTTCACTTGAACTTGAGCCATTTGACTTGAAAATACTTGATACCTTCCCTTAAGCCCAAAGATGAAAGAGTTTGTTATTTAAAAAGTGTGGACCTAATCAATCCATTTCCCTTCATTTCCTAAAACAACTAATGTTACTAATGCTATTCATTCCCAGCATGTTGATACTTAATTCCCCCTACCCCCCCTTGGCTCACCTGCTAGAGCCGGCACCCCATGTACTAAGGCTTAGTTGTTGCTGCAGCAGCCATGGGTTCAAATCCAACTTGTGGACCTTTGCTGCGTGTCATCCCTTCTCACTTACTCCCCTTTCTGTCTTTCAAGCTGTCCTGTCTAATAAAGGGGGAAAACAAACATATACATTTTAAAATTTCCCCAGATCCAACCAGTGTGTTTGAACCAGTCAAAAGTAAATTATTGTTCCCAAGGTCACAATACAATGTTGCACTGTAATTACAACAACTGTGCAAACTGCTTCTGCTGATATAGATTATGTGGTATGACTGAAAGCTCAAGAACTGCTACTGGAATTTGTGTAGTAGAACCAGTGTACAAGTACATTGGTGTTTAGGCTTGGTTAGGACCAGTTCACATGCACAGTCCAAACACCTGTGGCTGATTGGTCATTACTTGTCACATCACTCAAAATCAAGCCTTCGAATAGCCTTGATATATTTATATCACAGCTTGGTAGACTCAACCTTCATACCTGAAGAATAATGTTTCAGATCATCAACTCTTGCATGCAAGCAATTGTATCAGATTCCAATCAAATATTAGAAAAGGCACAATGTTAATGTTAGTGTTTGATACAGTTTGTCTATAAAATCAATTTTAGCTGGATCACATCACACGAAAAGTGCACAGATGTTAGGGTACTGACAAGTTAATGATGAATGAGAATATATCAGCCTGCTCCTTACAACAAAAACCCAATTATGTGCTCTGACAGCCATTGTTGTAATTACAGTATTGCCTGACAACCTTACTTTCTTACACGCCTTTCTCAAATATGTCTCAAACTAATGCATGTGCACACAGCTGTCTCTGCCCCTCCTACTTATCCACCATTATATATCAATTCCATTTGGCCTAAAGAACTGTGGGCATTATCCTGCCATGTCTCTATCGACCAGACAAGTGAAACCCCACTTAAAAACACCCAGTGAAGATGATGCAGGGATGGCTGGATGGATGCTACAAGAAGAGGGGAAATGAGGGTCGGTTGTTAAACTAAACTACAATTTGAAATCGGGAATGACAGGAAACATGTCAGGATGACATCTTCTAAGGCCAAAGTGGAAAAGTGGATTGCCTCCCTTAATCATGAAGAAAACAGCTTTTAACTACCATTTAAAGAAATAAATAACAAAGCAGACAAACCAGTTTGAACCACCCAAAAATTGTCTAGCTGATGGTACATATCCATCGTAGAGCTGTACCTGACTTAAAACGTTGTCAGTCTAATTGGATTTGACTATTCAGTGGTGATTTAACTATTTGTTCCTTTTTTTTCCTGTTAAACACCCTACCAAACTACTATATCAGCTTACACATGTCTCATGTTTGAGCTTACCCCACATTTAAATGCCTTTCTTCATCATCTGTGGTCTGAAAACATTAGATTCCCACAAATTCATAGAAAGTAAAAATGTGCGTCATACTTAGTTTGGTAATAAAATCCCAGCACACCATGAAACATCTCTGCTGCTGGGCTGTTGACAGCTGAAGAGTCAATCACAGTGGACGGCAGTGGAACAGATTGTACCACCGTCTGGTTTAAAAGCCGACTTCACTGACAGCCATGACTGGAGCAGCCAAAAGACTGGAGTCACAGTGTCCTCC